ATTCGACTTAAGGACAGACCTTGGGAATGGAACTTGTTCTTAAACTGGGGACTACCTGTAATAACAACAGGTATCAGCTATAGAATTGGCAAAGAAGATATCAAAGTGATAGATAGCTTCTGCCTTTTAGAAACAACCATCTATTTTTACTAGATGGTTGTTGTAAAAGAACAAGTAGTCAAGAAACAAGTAGTCAAGAAACTTGTAAAGGAACAAGTAGTCAAGAAATACACCACAGACTAGCACTTGGAAGAGCAGCCATTAAGGCTTTGTAAAAGATACTCAGATGCTGTGATGTGTCTACACCTACAAAAATCAGTATAATGCAAACAATGGTATTTCCTGTGACATTCTATGGAAGTGAAAGTTGGACTTTGAAGAAGCAGGATAGGAAGAGTATTGACACTTTTGAATTTTGGTGTTGGAGAAGACTCCTGAGAATACCATGGACAGCCAAAAAAACAAATCATCAAACAAATCAACCCAGAGTTCTCACTCAGGGCACAAATGAGTCCATACTTCAGATACATTATGCAAAGACCCAGCTCGTTGGAGAAGGCTGTAATGCTGGGAAAGGTGGAAGGAAAGGGAAGGATGACCAACAGGAAGATAGACAGACTCAGTTACAGTGGTGATGGTTGCACTGTTGAAAGATCTGAAGAAACTAGTTAGGGGTAGAGAATATCAATGTGGTCACAGAGTTGACAATGATTTGATAGTACATAGTCAATTATTTTATATGCTACCAAAGTCATGTTGTTTGTTGGGCAGCTATATAAATGCTTGAAATAAAGAAATAAACTGAAAACAAGGGTCTTCCAGCATGAGGATTATACTTCCTGTGTTCAAAGTATCAGGTACTCAGCCTAAAACATGCTAGGGCTGCCTACCTTCTTACATTTTTTGTGAACTTGGAAAAGCATAGTTCACTAAAATTGATCTAATTTATATCACAAAGGGGATAGATTCAAAAAGGAATCTGTTCATGTAATCCAGGTGACTGAAACCTGTGCTCCCTTGGATTCCATTTCATTGCTAAAGGTCATTTATTGCAGTAAAATTTGCTCAGTATGTACTGTATGTCTCACATAATTGTGTTTGTGGCTTCAGGTTGCAGTGTAAATCGGAATGATTTGATTTATTGCCTAATAAGCCAAAAAGGATAGATACCTATATAGGATTTCAAGTAGTTTTTTGAAAAAAAAATTCCTACATTAAAATTGTCTGCAAGTGGCAACAAATAGAGAAAGGAAATAGCTGGATCTGTTTTAAAACTAATATACAATGCCTTGACATTGAATGGTATCACATCCTGTCTAGGTCAAAACTTGAGTCTCAGGATCCAGATTGCTCAGCAGCTATTTGGGTGTGATAAGGCTATGAATGACAGCCTGAAGTGAGTTTGACAGGGAAGTATGAATCTCATTATTAGTGTAAAAGTTGTCTGGCAAGTTGGATAATTGCTAAGCTACACCAGTCTAACTTATCTGCACTATTCAAATATCATTACTTACTTTGGCTACCAGTTATTAGTGCCTAATACCCACTTTTTAAAAAATCTAATTCAAGGAAGCAAACTCTGAAGGAGCAAAAATGTATACAGATAGTCCTCAGCTTACATCCATTCATTCAGGCGGGGTGCTATGGAATACAAGTTCCCTGCAGGCTCCTCTGGAGAAAAAGCTGTGGGGACAACTTGCAACCTTCCCTGCCAGTTTCCCCATTGCTTTTGTTTGTGGAAAGCTGGCAGGGAAGGTCACGAATGGCAATCACATGATGCAACTCACTGTGCCATCATAATTGTGAGCTGGGCACCCAAGTACCTGGATTGTGGTCACATGATCACAGGGATGCTGTGATGGCCAGAATTTCAAAGACCAGTTGTAAGTCCATTTCTTCAGGGCCGCCGTAACTTTGAATGGTCACTCTCTAGCACATGCCTGCACGACCACCCTGCCCTCCCATGGCTTCCAACCCACCCACAACCCCCAGTGCACTCCATGGCACTCCCCTACTCCCTGCAGCACCCATACATCCCCTTTGCTCCTTAGCTGAGACTCCCTCCTCTTCCCACTTAACAATCCTGGGGTTACAACAGCAACCGGGGACTGCCAGGATTGCCATTGTTAAGCAGTGTAGTCACATGACATCGCACTTTAAGACCACATTGCTTAGTGATGGTGATCCTGGTCCCAATTGCCTTCAAAACCCGAGGACTAACTGTAACAAAAAATCTAGTCTCTGTTGAACTTAATCAAGTAGACAGGTCACATCATTAATGAAGAACATAAGATAACTTAGCTACTATCGTTCAACTTTACTATTCCCTCACATTTGATGCCTGGATAAAATTGTGGAGGCAGTTCCTAAAAACATCACATCGTTGTCCTTACAGGATAGGGAAGAAGATGCCTGTGTGACAGAAAATGCAATACTTGCCATTCTTTTTTAGCAATAGGCAATATTTGTTCTATACTTTCCAATAAAATTAACTCTTTAAATGCTTTTTAGAGTCAGATGTCCAAGATGATGTCTAACATACAGGCTCTGATGGCAACAGAAAGAAAGCACCGCCAAGAGTTGGAGCAGGCAGAACTTGAAAAACGCGAAGTGTTGGAGTTAATGAAGAACTTCCAAAAAGATTGCCTCTCACCTCAAAATGGAAGCAAGAAAGCAACACATTTCCAACCTCTATCACGACTGGAAAGTATGAAACGAAAGACATGGGAGGCAACAGCCATATAAGCTGAAAGTTTTAAAACCACTTTCACTGAACTTTGAAGTAATTTTTAGAGGGCAAAATTGTTAGGTTACCTTATTCTAAAAAAATATCAGTTCTACTCATTTATAGACTTGCTTATTTCCTTGGGATCCTTTCAAAGCTCATTGAGTTTGGGAAGAACTATGCTTAAAAGAGAGTACTCTCAAGTGTTAATCATTTCAGGAGTCAGTGGTAGGAATTTAAAAGCTGGGAAATGATTTAAAAATCTTGTTCCACATGAAGATACATTTGTCTGTTTTTCCCCCTCAAATGAGTAACAAAACTTCTTTGTGCTATTTATGAACAGGGTATTCAAAAAATCTTAGAGATATGAAGGTTAAGGGACAAAAGACTTTAGTTTTAACATGAAAATTATAGGAATAAAAGTTTCAGCAAAAAACTACATCCTTTCTTCAGTAGTTGATATTCTAAACTATGCAAGATAAATTCTGATTCTGATTATTACTTTACTTCAGTGGGGGTTTTTTTCAGGTAATTTGGAAATCTCCAGAATAGTCTAATTCTCAGTTTATAGGTAGAAGACAAAGTAATAATAAATTTAAGCCTTTGTATTCAGTTTTTAAAAAGCTACCCCCTACAGTTAAGATCTAAAGAGAAGATTTTACAGTGCCTTTATAACCCTAACCCTTACGGGACACTACTGCAGAAGTGCAATATAGTTAACGTGATTTATAAGCTAACCTTACAGCCCAACCTACCTCATATGGTTGCTTCAGGAATAAAATTGGAGGAGGAAATACTACATATTTCACTTGAGCTCCCAGAATAAAGGTTATGTTTTGATTATCACCCTAATCAAAAAACAAGCTCACACCAGAGCAGTTCTCCCATAGCTACATTTGAACCAAATCTATTTGTTAATGAGCATATCAATTTTCCATTACCATAAGAACATAAAAGCTCATTTCTAATATAAACTAGTTTTTTTTTTCATACTGATTTCTCTTTTAATGAAGATAGTGCAGAATAGCATTAGATTAACAAGTTTTCCAGTATTGTAATACTTCAAAGAGATTTGTAAACATTGTAATGGTTTTTAATGTTACAAATACTCAGCTGCTAGAAAATTAACATTACAAATACTCATCTACTAGAAAAAGCATATCCAAGAACTAATAAAGCTAATGAGTATTTTTGCAAGTATGATCAAAAACTGGATTTTTGGAGTCAAGGACTGTTTAATGAAAAATTGTCAGTACATAAAAGATGAAGGGTCATACAGGAATTTACCCTTTGGGAATCTGGAGCTGCAGAAAAAGAAATTAAGACTATCACAGATTTGGTCATGTATGCAGTGTGAATAATGCTTGGCAAAAGAACACTAGAAGAGGTGTGACTGCAGACTGCTAAAATGTACATCTTTGTGCATCTTTCTTTGAAATAAATACTTCCTTTCCAGTATTTTTATCCCATGTGTTCTGAAAGTGCAACTCTGTTCCAGATTAATTTTATTGCCATTTTGCTGCCACAAATAAAGGGAGTTCATTAGGTCTTGGCTGGTTTCAGTAGCCAGGCAAAACTTGTTCTTGCAATGACTGTAGCACTAGGGTTGTGCACTAAAAAGAAATCAGACAGTTGTATTCATGGTGCTATAAATACTGATACTGTTTGATGGAAGTATAACAAGTGAAACTATGCTAACCCAAGTCACAACTGGCACGTGAAACCAAAACTAAACTATATTATGACTTAACATGTGAATGATTAGGTAAAAGTATTACAGTTCTAACACTGCCTGATATAATCCTCAACCCAATAGGGATACTGTGGCATATGGGTTTTGTGCCCAGGTTGGCTGCTTTAGTGCTGGTGTGAGACAGGAGAGAAGGAAAAATGGGGAAAAGATGCTCAGGTATGGCCTTGGAGCACAACTGTGCTGTCATGGGAGCAAATAAGTTGCCCTGGCTGCTAACCAGGACTATTGTGGGACAGATGGAGGCAGCATTCCCATAGGCCAAATCTAGTACTTATATCAATGTTCAGGACTTAAGCCCTGGAGAGAAACCCACCTTCTCAGTTGCTGGGGAACATGCTGTGGGTTCGAGCCGTTAAGGGGCAGAGAGAGAGAGAGGGGTCATGTTTGAACCTGTGCTGCTTTGAGGTATCAAGGCAGGAAATGGCTTTGGAGAGACTGCAGGAAGTTGCTGGCTGTCACTGTGGATATGCTGATCCACTGGACTGTGCAGTTGCTGTTTCTTGGCCCCAGAGGGAGAAGAGAGTGAAAATGTTGGCTGGAGGCTTCCCTAGAAGAAGTGAAAACCCAGACAGAGGGACGTGCTTTGTCCCAAACCCAAGGCAAACAGACACCTGGAGCCTCCAGGGAAGCCCCAGACCAGGAAAGGCAGAAGACCCAGAGAGAGGCATGTCCCGCAATGTCTATGCAAAAAAAAAGCATCATGAAAAGCTTTAACTGCACTCCAAATTGACTCAGCCAGTTCCCTTTCTCTCTCTCTTAATGAACCACCAAGGAGCAAGAAGCAGGAGAAAGAGGGAAATTGGTAACTAAGCAACAGAGTAGATGATTGCTAGCAAATAGCTGTGGGAGAGAGGTAGAGAAAGTTAGGGACTGAAAAAGTTTGGACACTGCTGTAAATCTGTTTTTTTTCACTAATTCCTGTAAATTTACCTGTATGTAGTAAAACAACAACACTAAACAGTTTCTGTCTCAGTGAAGCAAATGTCCTCCTTAAAGAAACACCCAGCTATAAAAAACCCTCAGTGATACTGTGACAGATACTGTGACAGATACCAATGAAATTTGGAACGATGGGATTTTGGTAAGTGATATGGAAACAGCCCTATTCAGCCACTCAGAAAACCGAAATGGAGACACAGGATCCTAACCCAGTGCCTCCATCTCAAGTTCTTTGGTTGATAGGGAAGATCAGAACAGCAGCTGTACTGCTGAATACAGGCAGTCCTTGTTTAGTGACTGCCTGGTACAGTGACCGTTCAGAGTTACGATGGTGATGAAAAGTAACTTTGTGACCAATCCTTGCATTTACGACCTTCACAGGTTGTAAAGCAAAGAAAAGCTGAAGTATGATTATAAGCACAGTCAGTTTCACTTAGTGACCCCTTCACTTAACAGAGTTGCCAGTCCCAACTGTGATCACTAAAGAAGGACTACCTGTATAGCTGTAGTTTTCCACATCATCAGGAACCCTGACTGCAGTTTCAAATACTCTGTGAAGTACTGTAACCTTATGTTGTCAAAAGCAGCTATAATCTCCCTTCAGATGTACCCTATCCCCAGGGACTGTAGGCCATGAGCATATACCTTTCTCTTCTTCATGTTAGGCTTTTCAAACACCTGAAAAGAACTGATTGTTTTAGGAAAAAAGCGTGCTAAGACATATAGCATTTACAAGTTGCCTAAACTTTCTAAAAGGTGTCTTCCTTCTGAAAAGCTTCACTGCCCCTGGAAATGACATTGCAACATCCAGAGTTGCTTGGTGAGTGGGGCAGCTTTAGAAGATGAATGAAATAAATAATGCAACAGCTGGAGCTTTAGGAAAGTGCTGACAGATCTTGCTATCCCAGAGCACCAAAACGTTTGCTCTATTTGCTGCACAGCAGCAGTAGTCTCAATGTTTCCTAGGTGAGAGCCACACTGCAAATCCACTGAAACAAAACCTTTACTTCTGGCACACTGCCATATTGTGCCCCAAACACAGGCAAATATATACACACACAAAAAAGACAGTTTTATTGAAATCTCAGATCTTGTATGAAACAAAATTGAATCCTTAAAAAAAATAGTATCTTGCTGCCCCCAGATACCAGAAGGTCTAGCATTGGTCCTCAAATATTTTTCATCATCATCTTGAAATGTTCACAGTCAGAGCGTTCTCAGAGATCTATTTATCGAGTAAAGGAACGAACATGACGTCCTCTTCCACTGCTTCCACTAACAAACTTTCCTCTTGAGCCACCACTACCACTGCTATTCGCACTTGCCCAAGATGGTGTAATTCCACCACGACCTCTGGAAGCACGATCACGAGGACTTGGCCGGTAGCCTTAAACAAATGGAAAAGTTATTGGTAACAGTACCTATGGTGACTTCTAGTAGGAGCTACAACCTATACATTATAATCTTCTTGCTGAAGCCCCTTCAAATGGCCAAATCAAAGCTTCTTAGTATACAGGAAATCTTGCCACACTATTTAAAGAATTAAGATGATGTAATATAACAGGCAGAGGAAAAATGTATTAAGACAGTTTGGCTAAAACCAAGACTTGCCTCCAAAAATATAATCTGACTGAAAATATATAAAATTACTGAGGCTGAAAAAGATGTGTTAATTCTGACATTATCTAATACATATCTACAACTCCCATTTGAATTAATTAAAAGCTATGTACTTTACCAATTAATAGGTAAAACATGCAAGTTGTCCTTCTGTGGATAAGGTGAAAGCTTGTAGCAAGGATCTCATGCCGTTAACTCTTAATGGGTGTCAGCCCAAGAAAATCTGCTTTCATTACTTTTTAGGTTCTTTATACTTTTTTTTTTTTAAGTATATTAGATTATCTAAGGTGCCTTGGCAAAGATAAACAATGAAGTAAAGCTCAAGCACTGGAGAGGACATAGACATGTTCATGTCATTTTCTTGGCAGCAATACAGAAGGAATTGGCACTGCCATCTTCTGGGGTGTTTTTTCTAGATCACAGCCCTGGCATTTACTGTTGGCCTCCCACCTAGGCCCTTTTTTTTTTTTTTAATCCATTCAATCGTGTCTGATTCTTGGAGACTGCCTGGACAAGTCCCTGTACTTTTCTTGGCAAAGTTTTCAGAAATCGTTTACCACTGCCTCCTTCCTAGGGCTGAGAGAGTGACTGGCCCAAGGTCGCCCAGCTGGCTTCATGCCTGAGGAGGGAGTAGAACTCACGCTCTCCCAGTTTCTAGCCTGGTGCCTTAACCACTACACCAAACTGGCTCTCTTACCCAAGGTACTAGCCAAGTCTAAACCTGCTCTGAAAGCAGCCAAAGCTGGCTAGGTGCCAATACCTGCTATGACATAAATGTAGTCAAATAAAACTAAACCAGGGGTCTCGCTCCAACAATTGTTGCCTATGGCTGTATTCTGCCTGTCACAAAATGTGTGGCCTGGAGGGCATGCCTTGCCTTCTCTGTGATGTTCTCCCACTATCTCAGGGAAATAGTCTGACTGCCAAGCATTGACAGGTGCTTGCTTTCTAGTATTTGGAACAAAACTTTCATCTGCTATTTGCTTCTCAATTTTGCATTCAATGGTGGCTTTGTGATTTTACCCTTGTTTTGTAAGGCATCTTGAGAGTTTCATGCAAAGAATAATTAGATTTGAAATGTATAAAGGAATTAATTATACTATGGAGGAAAACAATCACTTACCCGCCGAACTTAAGGGCCTCAGAGGGGGAAGAGGGCCTCGGTTGAAATTGCTCTGGCCACCTCGACTTTCATTGTAGGTCCCTCGAGGGGAGCTTTGGGCACTCCAGCTTGATCCTCTGGCTCCTTCACGGCGACTGTAATTTCCTAAATGAAAAGTGCAACCTAAGCCAAATGCAGATTGCTTGTATTTTAGTTTATTTAGATTTAACTTCACATCTCAGTTTAACAGCATGATATTTACAAAAATGACAAAGGTGGCACAATAGCGTGGGAAGTGAGCAGTGCTAAATTCTGATTTATGATGCAAGATCTGCATTTACCACAAACTCCCTGAACAGCCTGAAGCAACATCTATTATTATTTTATAAATGAGTAATTAAATATTAAATAATTCATTTATAAAACAGGCATAGGAACAGGGAGGGCAGGAGGAAGAATGTGAAACTGCTGTAGATTCTGCTTTTTTTCACTTGTAAATAATATAGTAGCATGACAATGAACGTCACTTTAAGAAAGACATGAGATAACTGAATCTCAAGCTGCTTTCCTAAGAGCACAAAGTTCTCATGTTGCAAATGAATCACAGAACTTACCTTTTGAAGCAGGTGGTGTGAAGAATCTGTTTTGGCTGTGAAAGGCTCCCCTCCCTCCACGGTTCCCTGAGAAGCCACCACGGGAAGAAATTTTCTGTGACACTTTAGGTGGCCTCTTGGGAGGCGGGATCCCATCTGGTGGAACTACCTCTTTGCTCTCTGCAGCTACAAAGTCATCAACGTGCATGGAAGGCGGCCTGCTAGTATTCTGCTTCCTCTGACGAAAGATATCATGCGGGCGGATGCCTTGGCCAAATGCTCCTCTGCCCCTTCCTCTAGGTGGGGGTACAATATGAGCCCTCTTGGCAGGTTCAATGTATTCCGACTTTCCACTATGGAGACCCAAAAGAGAATGAGAATTTTACAAATTCTTCACAAACCAGCTAAAATAACATCAAGTATACAGCTTTCCAAATACTCTTCTTCTTGTTATTTTGTAGTCACTTTTCTGAATAGTTCTCAGTATTGAACTATGTTGACATTGCTAGTTCAAGCAAACATTTTCATACCAGTTAAGTACAAACAGTATTATTATAACATATTGGTGTATTCTATATAATTTGTCAAATCTCAGAGCTAAGCCTAAAGGGAATCTGTTATAGTTAAAATCCTTATTTCATTCTAGCACGTATATTTGCAACATCTTAGAAAGGGAGATGCTTTTTCCATTGCAGCCCACTGTATGTTCTTCATGACCAAATCATCCTCAGGCTGAAGCTCACCCACACTGGTTAGCTGCATCATTTTCAGGAACTCTTACTTTTCTGCTTCTTTGTTTTGTTTCTCAAACTAAGAAGCTGGAAATTTCAGGGTCCATTTTTCTAAATCATGTGATATAATCCACACAGAATTTGAATGTTTTAATATAGTTCACATAAACTTTCAGGCTTGTGAGAAGTGTGCTGCAGCAATGCAAACAATGTAGTGGATACTTTCAAGTGACCACAGTTCAGTTAATCTCACCACACCATGCTCACAAAATTACAATTTGTGCAGTGAAGTGATTTTATTCCATCTTTTGTTGCTGTTCAGTCATTAAGTCGTGTCCGACTCTTCGTGACCCCATGAACCATATCGCGCCAGGCCTTCCTGTCCTTCACTGCCTCCTGAGTTTGCTCAGTTTCATGCTTTCCATGCATTCCATCTTTAGGTATACATAATGCACATATATAATTGGATATACAGGTAGTCCTTGATTAATGACCACAGTTGAGACTGGCAACTCCATCACTAAGTGAAATATCATATGATCATGAAGGACTTATGACTTCACTTCTGCTGAGTGATTAAGTGAATCACCCGC